TGAGTCTCAGGTTACAGAAACACCCACCCTACACGTCCAATGATTCACAAATACCCCGGAGCAATTTGCAGTGTGGGTTTTTTTTCAGTTTCATTCATTGATTTAAGCTCTATCCTCTTTAAGAGCTGTCATGCTGAATTGATCGTGATGAAGATTTTCCGTAATTCCGTAGTGAACACCGGGCAAAGACCATTTCCCATAAACCTCCCATCGCACACATAACACGAGAACCCCCCAATTTATGCGAATGTAGACGGGCGAGTGGCGCTGAAGACTTTCTTGTTGTTGAGACGGGGAACACGGTGGGGCAGAGGGAACGACAGGTTCTTGCTGACGAGCTGCTTGATGTAAGGGCGCTTGATATCTTCTGTCTTTTCGATCTCGACAACACGGAGGATCTGGGTTCACATTAGCAAGAATCGCCTTTATCTGGGGTTTCGACGGCTTTGGGGTTCGTACGTGGATCGACCTGAAACGGGCACGGTGGCGGGCAGCCATATCCGAGTAGAGTGCCTCGACGGCATCTGTTCTCGAGAGCTCACGGTACTCCTTGTACATGTTGTGGGTGCCGGAGCGGGAGTCGTATCGGATCCAGATACCGAAGTTCTTGACGCGCAAAGGATTCTTCTCGTTGATCTATTACGAACGAATCAGCCACCCGACCCATGACTTTCTACACCAACCAATTTCATTGTCAGCCCTGAACGTACCTTGTTCAAGCTGACAATCTCGCCGTTGGCCTTCTTGACCTTCTTCAGCTTCATCAGGAAGTACCAGAAGCGGGACTTGGCAACAACCTCATTGGGGGCGAAGATGCGCATGCGGTACAGCTTCGGAGTGGGGTTGGCCTCGGTGGGCAGGTGGCGCCCGATGACCTGGTATTCCTGAAGGCGACCTGATAGCATCGAATTAGTGACTTAACAGACCGTTGTGTGCGGTATCAGATGCAGCGAGCAGTTCCAAACGGCAGAGACAGAGATAATCTGCAAAGGCTGGCTCAAGAGGCGAGAGGCGAGATATTCGTCGAAATAGAAGGTCTGATGGCGTTTTCCATGTCGTGTTGATAGAACAAGTGTAGTTGGCCGATGGTAGAATATCACCAAGTTCCTGATGGTCAAGTTTCTCCTGGCGACATGCCCACCCTCCAATCGCTCTTCAACCGTGGTCCAATATCCGTCTAAGCGCCAAGAACTGATGGCTCGTTACGCTGCATCGTTTATATCGCAGTACTAAAGCTCGCTCGCTCGCTTGCGGGTTCTTCATGGAGAGTTCTTCCAGGCTGTTGTCGACGTCGAATCCAAGCAGGTGCAATTGCATCATCGAGCGAAAAGAAAATTGCTTACCCATCTGGAATGAATGACTGTCAGTACCTGAGAAATTATGCACAGCAGGGACGAAAGACTGCAACCTACTGTGAATTGAATCCGGTCCTGTTGTCGTGGAGGTTAGTATGAAGGGCAGATCTGGTCGGATGCGTGTAGTGGAGGCGGCTTTGGGGCACGTCTTCGGCTGCGAGAACTTTTTGCGAAATTCTGTGCTAAGGGCTTCCCGCCCTAGCAAGCAATTTGGGCTTTGTGTGGCGGGTTTGCGTACACAGACCACCTAGGCACCTAGGCTTTGTGGCGGTGACAGTGGATCAAGTGGCTGAACTTGCAAGGTCCAAAGGGTGGTGGGGCGAGGTGGGGTACACGTAAGACCCGGCCTTCTATCGATGGGTACTTACTAAGGTACGTAGGTACACATGGACCTGTCGGCGGTTCCAATGTTTCGGCCAATCATAGTGTAGCACTTCAAAGAATCGCGTCCCTTCATGGGCATTCTTGAGAAAGGTTGGCCATTAATGTATACAACCTTCGGTAACCTTGACGAGAGAGAAAAAGAACTCATATATCTTGTAACCTATGCACATCGGTAACCACAGGCTGAAGTCAACCCAACGAGTCTATTGCTGCCGTTAGCAGCGCCGTACCCAACTCGGCCATGGATGGCTTGATTCGCCAATTTCGGGCGGCATATGCTGCCATGAATGGTGAACAACTGGCCGAGACCCTAAACCCAGATATCCAATCGCACTCGGCTAAGCTCCGAGCCATCTGGGGACGAGGTGATGTCCGATCCACGGCAACCGATCTCAACTTCCTTTTTCACCAAGACCAGGCTCGTCTCACCATCAAGTTGTCCAAGGAAGAAACAAGCGGGTGGCACGCCATCTACACTGCATATTGGAAAGCCGCAGGAGAGATATTAGCCGCCGAGGGTTTGCGAAATGATGTCCAGGTAAGCCGATCTTAATAGGGGTAGCGGTTTTCCATTTCCCCAGCCAAGCTCGTCATTTCTCGGGTTTGGTTACTCGTGCTTCATGCCAAACTACAGGGCTTTGCGCTAACTAAGACAAGTCGTCGTGGGCTAAGGTGTACGATGCATGGAAAGAACTTACGCTACTCACTGTCCGGGGTTATACAAACCATGAATTTGAAAACTGGACCATCCCCTGTCTTTATGTCACTGGAAAATACTTGAGGCTCTTTGCCATACGAGCCGATGCCGAGAGGGCTCTTAGTAATGATGACACGGCCATTGATGATCTAAAAGACGACTTCGATCCTCAAGCAGAGGAGCATAAAAGTCTCGAAGATTGTGCAAGGCATCTAAACAGAATCTTCCAAGTTTGTGCCTCAGACAGGTGATTACTCGTCGTCGTTCGATTCCCGTCGGGGACTCCTGCTAATACGAACCAGAGCTCCACTGGAGGAATCTCGAAAATGGGGAGTCTATTATGCGGTCAATCTGTTGTTCAAAACTTACTTTAGGCTCAATTCAGAGCCGCTCTCGAAAAACATCTTGAAGGCAATATCGGCTGGTCGAAGTGATATTCCCCCGATTGATAAGTTCCCAAAATCACAGCAGGTTACGTTCAAATACTATGAAGGTGTCTTGGCCTTTCTCGAGGAGAACTATGTCGAGGCAAGTGGGCTGAGCAATTCCCATTTCAATCCTCATGATTACTAACGATGTATCAGGCTGAGAAACATCTTGAGATGGCATGGCTGTTATGTCACAAGGATGCGCAACGAAATCTCGAGTGTGTATCTTCCATTCTCTTTCTCGTGGCCCATACCCTAACTTTCTTCAGGCTTATCCTCACTTATCTTATCCCGTGCCGTCTTTTAACAACCCATACGCTACCTAGCGCACAACTGCTTGAGCCATTTCCCCGACTACAGAAGCTATTCATGCCTCTCGCCCGTGCTATCAAAAAATCAGATTTGAGAGCTTTTGATATCGCTCTGCGCGACGGCGAAGACGAATTCATAAAGCGACGCGTCTATTTGACACTAGAGCGCGGGCGCGACATCGTATTACGCAACTTATTACGCAAAGTATTTATAGCAGGAGGATTCGAGGAAGCCAAGGACGGAGCAGCGCCGGTGCGGAGGACGAGAATCCCCATCACTGAGTTTACAGCAGCCGTGCAGATAAGCAGTGGAGAGGCCATTGACTCTGATGAAGTGGAATGTCTTATGGCTAACATGATATACAAGGTAAGCCACAACTGTCTCTCACACATAGACCGTACTAGCATTTCCTACATTTCGACAGAGGTTATGGGAGCATGCCTATTTCTTTTCGAGACATCTTAGCTTCGACCCACCAAGTAACTTCTGCACGCTCCCTCCTGCTTTAAGTTCCCCTCACGCGCTGCTAATACTTCAGCCTAGAATCTCATGAAAGGATACATCGCCCACGAACGTGGCACAGTAGTATTGAGCAAGTCCGGTGCCTTTCCCGGAACAAAGGTATGAGTCAAGGGTTACGGGATTATCAACCAAAACAATGCATTAATGCACACGAGGGTTCCCAATATGCACTGCAATGGCGATGCAGGGGGGCAACGCACTTTCATCGTCGCGGGCGGTAGCAATATCAAAATGGAGATGTTTTGGTTGGACAGCCTTGCAATAGGCAAGAGTTGGTATCACAGCGAACATGATTTTGATGGGGGGAAGGCAGATCAGGTAGATAAGGGGCGCTCTGAAGTCGACGCATAGCCATCCCGCCACTCCGCCTTGAAGAGGCGAAAATAAAATGGCAAAACTATCCTCTCAGCACAGCGCTATGTATGGTATACAGTATGTAGCTCATATCAAATGGGATTCGTGGGCGATACCCAATCTCGGCACCTCCCGTGTATCCTCGCGCCGCCTAGGCAGACGAAGCTTGGGGCGCAATAAGGCTACCCAATAATCTAAAAAATACAAGAAAAGAAGATTTTGAATGCTGACAGGAACAAAGTCCATTCGGTATTGCTACCTTCTTTGGTTAGTACAAACAGAATTTATACCGTAGCACAGCGCAGCGCTAGTGGGCGTGTGAGTGTGTAGGTAAGTAAGCAAGCCTTGTTTGTGCTCACTCACAATCGTGACTCACTCATCTCGAGTCATCCCTCGCATATGAATGTTCGGGACTATCCGCTGGCGCATTCGCCTCTTGCACGTACCACTAGCGGGCAACCATCCATTTACATCCCGGACGCCCAATGAATTGATTCATATTAGGACATAGCTCCTACCTCAGATCCACGATTGCAATTGGCTAATAGGAGCAAGATCGCGGCATCCAACAGGAACGCATCCCCGGATCACAAGCCACGTTTAGATATGGCTGAGTGCACTAGGACTCGAATGGAGGGACTGATTAGTGGGAAATCGGCGGATTATGTTATTCGACGTAATGAATAGAAAGCTTCACGACTTCTCTCATTGCTAATGATGTTCATCCTACCCACATTCTAAAGAGAATATCTAAAATATTGCAAATGGGATAGAATAGAATAGAATGGCAAGCGTTTACACTAGCAACAACTACGCGAAAAGAGCAAGTGGGAGAACAAACCCCTCCCAAAAGTAAAATATGAGCGAAATCAATCACTTTTAATTATTTCACTACTCAAAAAGTGTATAATGGGCAAGTAAAAGGAAAATTGAATTCCAGCAAAAGAAGGGCTCAACCGGGATTCGAACCCGGGGCCTCTCGCAACTTCAGTTAGGTCCCAAAGCGAGAATCATACCACTAGACCATTGAGCCAATCACTACTGAATTTCTTCATCAGACAATCCTTATCACGTACCAGACTCCCAGCTGTTTCCTAATGCTGGCCAACCATGCCACCCACATTCATCAAAGGTCCTTGAACAGCGTACGGACTCTCAAGTTCCGAGTGGTGAACGGTCAGTTATCAACCAGCCAGATGAACTAGAAACAGCAGACCAAAGAACTCGTCAATAGAAACCAAGAACCCATTGCGAAGGATCTGTGGTGCGCGCGGACATGTGCATAGGGCTGACTTCATGTAAGGATTCAAGGAAATTAGCCTTGGCCATGGTTTACATGCGAGTACTTGTAGAGTCATCGAGGCGTTGTTTGAATTGTATATACAAGAATTTCAATCTATCATCATCATCATCAACAGCATTTCATCTCCTTAAGCCTGCTATTTCTTCTTCTCTTGTTGCTCCCAAAGCCAGAGAAAACCAGCCTCGATCTCCTATTTCTCTGCCTGCCTCCCTTCTGCTGGGGAGGAAGGATATGAACCCTTGAGTGAACGATAGTCTAGAATTGTAATCGTACAGATGTTATCATGTCGTGCAACGAATAAAATAGTAGGAAATGCCAATAAAATAAGAAGGCGAAGAGATCCTCCAGTTTGGCAGTCTAAGTTCCCCTGTATCGCCTCCATGCCTGTTCCCAGGCAAACGTTGCTATATATTTTTCGGTGTTTCCTCGCCAATGTTTCCTAGCCAGATGCGCCTGAAGGATAAATATAGCCGCCTAGGTAGGAAGAAGCCATACAGGCCCACAGTGGCGAGATATTACTGTCCGTTCTTGTCTGAACGAAGAGATTAAGTAAGAATAGTAATACAGAGCGTCATAAAAGATACCAAGAAAAATCGAAGAACAAATTCAGCACACGGCGAGATGAACGCCAGAACGCCAGGATGTGGTAAACGTGTCCGTAGAGCGCGCGACTAGGAAGTCCACCGAGCTATTCCTTAGAAATGGCAGGGCAGGAAAGCAGGACAAGGCGAAAAGGGCGCGACGTTAATCATTAGATCCACCTCCCACATAATAGAACGGGATGGTGATAAGATTCGTATATGATGAAATAGGAACCAAAAGTGGAAATTGAGAAGATATGACAAAGGGAATTAAAACGAGTTCCTAGAAGAAGTGCCGATTACTACGCGGTGTGTTTCTGCAAAATCAAGATTAGTGAACTGTGAGATCTGATGGCCCAAGCCAAATAAGAGACACTTACGATGCACTGGAGACGTCGTCGACATGATTACATAAAGCGACGAAGAGATCAAAGAAGAGCTGTGTCCCACCGTTATACATCTCTAGTTGCATAGTGCCACTACGCTTGAAGGTGCTGCGGCTGCGAATGATGAGGGCGAGATAATGTGCTCGGAGCTTGGAATCGGTGTCAGGTGTATTAGCGTATGCATAGCGCGCTGACGCCAGTATGGTGCTACACTGGACGCCGGATTCTGTTGCTACAACGTCAGTATAAAAAATGAAAAGGTGGCATACGAAACTTACGAAGACCTTGCTTCCGCAGCGCAACGCGCTTGAGCTCCTCCAGCCCGTATTTATCAGCAGTGCAGTAGATAACGGTGTCCTTCAGGATATCGCCGTCGACGGCATGATGGTAGATGGTAGACTCTGTAGAACCACGCTCTTCGTCGAGTTGCTCGATCTCCCAGGAGTTGCGACGCTTGTTGTGGACAAGTCGAGGGTAATAGTCTCCTTTGTAGAGGTACTCGAGGATGGAAGAGAATATCTCTGGTTCATCATCCGGCAGATGAACCCGTTTGCCATGTTGTGGATCCGTGTATTGATCCGACAGAGCCTGTTGGAACCATGGCGATGCGCAGAGCACATCTTCATGGGCTGCGAAGATTCGCTGGTCCCGACCGATGATAAGGGTCACGATGGATGGCGTGAGGTTACTGCATGCAAGAAAAATGTTAGAGAAGAAAGTATGAAGTGATAGAATAAAAAGACGGATTGTTCGTACCTGTCGGGCGACATAGTCTCGTCTATCTGCTGAGACATGGATGTCGTCAAGCGGCGGCGAGAATCATGTCGATGCTTGGTGATGCCATTGCTCTTGCTGAAAGAAGCACTCGACTTGCTCACCCTGTGGCCTTTGGTAAAGCTCCTGCTTGGAGGCGGGTCCATACGCTTGCTGTGCATATTGTTGGAATAAGTGTGCGTGCGGAGTGTGTATGCGTGTGTGTTTTGTGTTTATGTGTGATCCTTCAATCCCCGGCCGATAGGCAATCGGAGTTTGAAGTTATTATTAAGAAATCCCTCGGTCGCAGATTATCAATAGCTCCGTGCTTTGAGAATCCAAGTCCAAACTTGGTGGTGTTCGGTCGATGTGATACGTTGTCATGCGGTCGAAGACAATGAACACGATGGGTGTGATGATGGAAATGAAAAAACGGAATGACGACGACGATGAAACGAGATGAATTTGCCTACCTGTTGGAGCCCCCTTCTGTTTGAATGAATAGGAGAGGAGAAATTTTCGGGGGCGTGCCTCATTATATAGTGGGCGACCCATGTCGCAGAGGCTGCGCTGCTGCGTGAATGCCTGTGGCAGTAATAAAAAGCAGCCCGTATCTTCAGGCAAACACGCTTAGTTGACGATGGACGTTGGCCCACGCGTCTGGCAGAACGGGATACTGGCACGAAATCACCTGACTCATTAAACCCTGGGCAGGCCCGGAACCGGATTAGCGGCAATCACAGCCTGTCTGGTCGCCCCAACATAGCTGCGATAGGCGCATGTCGGGTCCCCTTGGCGTCGCCATAGCGGAGCCTAAAGGAATCACCCAGTGGGCTGGTTAGCGCGGGTTCAATGGATGGCCGGGGGAACTAGCCGGGGGGTTTCAGGGCCAAGCAGCCTGCCGCAGGGATAATTACAAGTTGTTCCAGAAGCCCCATGTATTCCACTTTGGTTGCTTACCCGCCTATATTTTATATCTTCAGCGATTTCAGGTATAGCACGGTTAGGCATATTAGCCTCCATCATTGCTGATTTCTTTTTTCTCTCGCTCCTGTTAATTCGCTCCTGAGATTCTTCTTCGACTTATACTATACGCCAATGTCAGGCCGGCCAATTTTTTCCTATGATCAATTGATTAGGTGCTTAAGTAGGCAGCCGTCAATTAACTCGACAAGCTGCGCTCTAACAATCGCGCGTCGGCCATACTGCCAGATCATCATGAACGGTTGAAGGGAAAACAGCTCCGAGTGGTAGCGTGGTGCCATCGTCTGTCTCATTGGGGTCATGGGTCCCCATGTACAGTGTCTTAGGTAGCTCAGGGGGATCATGTACCTACTACACTAGGTACCTACATAGTACCTGATAATTGTGAAATTCGAATTAGTGAACAAATACAGACTTGTATACTAATACATACGACAGTGTCTGTTGAGTAACCATCACCTTCAAAAGACGGCGGGCGGACAGAACACCACAAAATCGACCATCAACCATCAATTGATTGCCTTCTTTGCTCAGCAAGATATTCCTCGGGAACTTTCTTTGTTACTTTTCAAAATGCTGACATGATTTAGTCCCAAATGCCGAGTCCTCAACATGCATATGCATCTCTTCCTCGCACCCCCCTCTCCCGCAGCTTATTCTAAGTAGAACAGGCGGGGACAGCTCGGGGCTTCCTACTAAGTACTATTGTACAATCGTACATACTTATATATGTACTTAAGTAAGGTTAGTGTAGTATAGACACATGGAGGTAGGTACCGACCAGGTATGTCTTACTAGGGGTACACTTAGTACTAATACACTACCTCTATGCATGAATATACTTACTTACTTAGTAGTACACTAGGTAGTGTAGGTCTTGTCTTACACTACCAGCAGTACTGTACCAGTGCTACACACACCTTAAGACAGCGAGGCGGGGTCCGAATGTCTCTGCACGACAGGCTCGGCTTCCTGTTAAGATAACAAGTAACCTTGGCGCTTGTAGCTCATTTCCAAAACTAACTTTCTAGCCCGTTTCCGGTATTGCTAACGCCAAATGTTGACACTACAGTAACAATCGACCGAGTCCAACGTGAACAGTACCCGGACACATTACACACTACAGGATCAACATCCACGCGAGACAGGAACTTTCAATTTAGATCCCTGCCGAGCGGGGTCTTGTTCGATGCATGCATCCATGTACGTGTATCCGCTTCACTTCCGTACCTCGCATGCTTTACTTACTTCACGGGGTTGTGGGTTGTGGCACATTAGGCGATGCAAATTACATACGTTAAACCGCTCAAGGAAATAATAGATTTGACTGCCATCTAGTGTATATGCTGAGGACTAGTCGCTGGCGTTGTTGCCAGCGCCTTTCCCACACATTGATAGGCTTGATTGACCTCCGATGTCCCCTTCTATTTCCGCGCTTTCCACTAATTTTCTCTATAAGACATAATAAGTAGGTAGTTGAGATGTGAGTTATTCTTTGCCCATATGCCTCATTCCATATGCCTTGTTACTCTCTTCAATGCCGATATTTCTGTCTTCTTTTCTTCTTTCCCTTTGTTGTTTTCTTATAAGAACCTGCTTTGTTGTCTCGCCGCCACCGCAAACTAGAAGACGATTGCGCAACATGTCGTAACAGTGGAACATATTGAGACGAGAGAAGAAAACAAGGCAGGTATATCGCATATTGATGTGAGAGTTGATGTGCGCCAGAGCAAGGACCAAGTCTAGTCCAAAAGCCCAGCGCTTCGCGGGCCAACCCCGCTGAAAACCTCAAAGTCCGCCGCACACCCTGTAGCGAGTGGCCGAGACGGGGCTCTCCCGTTCTTGTCCTTTCTCTCCGCCAAACTGATCTCACCCTGTCCGTACTCGTCGGGCCAGCTTCCATCACCGCTATACTTGGTGTTCGACTTGTCGGTTGTCTCCGTCGTATTCATTTCGTCATCATACTTGTCCAAGTCCACGGGACTCTCGTGATAGGGAGAGATGTAACGTCCTTGTCGCCAATATT